CGGGTTTTGAACATTCGCGATCGCAACACTCGAATACGCCATCTGGGGAGAGACCGGTTTCATGCCTTTAGCCCTTCTCCCTTCCCTCTCCTCCTCTTTTCAGTTGTATAGGAATGTACTACGATATTTTCCCTTTTCTTAATATTTTTCCTTTTTATTTAATAAGAATATTTTTTAAAATTTCCATAATACTTTTCTTTAGAACTATGTTTAATGTAGTTTTCAGTTCCATATAGTTTTTCAAGTTAAAAGATTTCAATCTATATGAAAATCAAGAGAGAAACTAACGTACTTCCTTCCTCTATGACTTTCCACACGCTAATGGGGAAAGCATGTGAAGTGTTGCCATAGGAAAAGAGTTCTGCTCTACGCCACCTGCAGCCCATTTCGATCGCCAATACAACTGAAAAGAGGAAGAGAGGGAAGGGAGAAGGGACAAAGGCATAAAACCGGTCTCTCCCTAGATGGCGAATTCGAGCGTTGCGATTGCCAATAACTAACGGAAGGTATTTCCTTCAATAGTGCTCTCAAATAGTGCTGAACTTTTACGAGTTTTATTACTAAAATAAATAAATATTTTAAAAAACAAGCGCTGAATAAAGTAATTTCCCGATTATTATAAAATATTCCTTAGAGTTTTTATAATTATTAAAAATTAATATTAATCAGGTTTTTTTCTTAAAAAAAGAAGCGAGCTTGTGGACTGGTAGATAATTTTTTAATCTTCCTTTATTTTATTCTGTCGCCCTGCAACCAGTGGCGACCTTTAATTTGATACTAAAGGAGCCATCCTCTTATTGTGAATCTGTAAATTTTTCGCGACTTAATTTTTAACAAGATTTAACAAAATACATATTAAGGGTGTTTATTACGGAATACCCTGTATATTTTATAAGTATTGGCTCAAAAACAAATAAGGTTATGTTTGATCTTAGTGCAGAAATATAAAAAATTTACTCTTAACCTAAGGAATTTTCACTATATAGGTATCACATCTAACAGTTTCGAATCGGTAGGTCATCCTTCAACGTAATAACTTACCGATTCCACAAAAGGCTATGAAACAGCGGGCATTTTAGTAATATATAACAATTTATAAAAATTGGATACTTTAAAAGTCTGTATATTTGCTTTTACGATGCATATTTATTTTTTATTTTTTTTAAAAACAAGATAGTTTTATTTCATTTGCATCACACTAGAGCCGCACAATGAGTTATTGGCATTCACACTGCTTACAATTGCCTCAGACGCGTTGCGAATGTTAAGAAACTGCATGTACGACGAACTATTCAAGCAAGTTAGAATCATATTGGCAAGTGATCACATAAAAAAATGATATGCAGTGAAAATGCTCTATGAGAATGATCCGAAGATTTTAGAAGTAGAAAAAAAAGAGTTGTGATGTAATCAAAAACCACATTCCTCGTGCACGTATATTTGTAATTCGCTTCTGCGTTAGGAATTTCAACAGTTTAGAGGAATATTTCTTTTCTTCGTGATTTCCACTCTTTCCTAGGCAATAATTATAGCTTATATAATCGTTTTTGAGTCTGTACTTTTTTCACTCGACTATTACGCATTTAAATTCGAAATAAATAGCCATTTTAACTGCATCTGAATCAGCCGTCGGATATACACTAATCAGGATCCAGGCCTTGCAGATGGAGAACCTGATTGGTGCAATGTAATCGTGTCAACCGACCTACATGCAAAAAAATCTGACCCACCGCTTAAAATTTTACAGTAAAATTTAGACCTTGTTGCTGAAGCAATGTGCAATTTCTAATGAAATTTAAAAAATATGGCAACATCTCTTAAGATGTGTGCTATCACTGAAATATAAAACGAAAACTTTTAATTCGAATGCTTACGATAATTATTATTTTTTTATCTAAAGCGCTTGTGTGCAAAAAAAAGGAGTAAGCTATCCGCTATTTCGTTAATCTATTTAGCTTTTAATGTTTTAAAGTATTGAACATTAAAAAAATAAAAAGTACATATTTAGCTGTAAGCCTAGTTAATCATGCAATTTCATCAGTGACAATTGTTCTGAATTTTGATGATGCAACATTTTTGTGATTTAAATAGAAATAAAATTTGTTTCTTTAAACGTACTAATCTCCCGGATCAAGTTTCCATTTCCATTTATCTGTCTTTATTGTTTGATACCTAGAGATCATTAAGAGTTTCGCAATCACTCTATTTTTTTGTATGTAATACTACAATTTTGTAAAATAATATACCTATTTAATAATGACTAAACGCGGTTAAAACATGTTTTGACAAGTTCTTATTATAAAATTCTTATTACCATTAGCTTTTATAAACCTTCTTTGTTTATAAACTTCGTTGAATTAAATTTTCACTGATGTTTTCCTCCTATGTTAACGGGACTTTTCTTTACACTTTCCTGAAAAACTTCTTTGAAGTAAACAACTTTGCGGGGATTTCTTGATATAGAAGATTCACTTGTACTCTATCTGACTTAAAATTTTAAATATTTTATATTCTAAACATCAAAGTAATATAAATAACAACAAAATCTTGCAGTTTGCTTGTGATTTCATTATATTGAAATAATTAAGAAAGGTTCATTTTTCAATTTAGTTGTAACACCCAATTAACTTTACCATTACCTCTTAATACATATGCAGCATAAGTTCTGCTTTTGCATTAGCTTTAAGCAGATTAATGCATAATAGCCAAGCATTTTTTTTTTTATATAACAGTATTACACTCTGACATAAACTACTCCAATTTTCCCTCATTTTTATGAAAATGTTAAGTTTGGCTTAACAATATTAATGAAAGAGCTGAACATTCCAAATACTGAAGTCAGAAAAATATGTTATTTTTATTGTTTTTGTACCTTATGTGTATTATTAAATGTTAACAAATCTTCATTACTTTTTTAAGAGCCAATTATTTTAATATTTATTGATGAGAAAATATTGATCTCAAACAAATGTGTGCTTTTTATTTTTGTGTACCATGCATTAATTATTAAATGTTACAAATTTTCAATGTTTATTGATGAGCTAAAGATGGTATCTACTAGTTACTAATTTAAAATTTTAATTTCTTTTTCAGAATAATTTGGTAATTTTCATTAGCAATTATTTGGTTATTATTTTAAAACACAATGTTAATTAAATATTTTTTTTATGATTTTGTTCTCTGAAACATTATTTTAATTTAGTATATCTTAAAATAAATCTCTGTTTCTATGGTATTGCACTAGAGTAGCCAACTGAATATAAATTTTTTTCTAACTATTTTTTTAATATTTTTTTTAAATGTGAATCATAGTGATTATAATACCAGAGCTATTATCTTAAAGTGCATAATGTAAATATAAGTTATTTTATAATGTATTTTGTCACTAATAGTTGTGACCTTGATCATCAAACTAATAGTTTTGACTTTGAATTTTGAACTAAATTAAAAACAGTTTTGTTTACAAATCATTAATTTGTTTATAGTCAAACTTGTTTTGTTTACTATTAGTAAATATTTGTTTATAATTGAACGTTTTCGACTTTTATTCCGTCAACTGTTCTGTCATTCACTTCGCGACTTGGCTCGACTATAAACAAATATTAATGAATTGTAAACAAAACAGTTTTTAATTTAATTCAAAATTCAAGGTCAAAACTATTAGTTAGATTGATCAAGGTCACAACTATTAGTAACAAAATACAATATAAAATATTTTATATTTACACTATGTACTTTAAGATAATAGTTTTGGTATTATAATCGCTATCACATTTAAAAAAAATATTTAAAAAAGGCTCGCGTTTGGTTCACAATTGGCGACATTTGCGCCCAGCTATCGGACTTCCTTTTCATCCTTATTAGATTTGGTGATTTGGTTTACTCATAACAGTTTGATTTCAATATTATTTAAAAACAGCATGATGCAGCTAATCAAATAGCAGCAAACTGTCGAGCAGCCAACCCAATTTTTGGGTTTACGACTACTAATGTTCAACTCTGTAGCCTTGTAATTTTGAACCGAATATAAAAGACAAGGAAAGTCCTGGACCAAGTATTGGGAGAAATTTGCCTTCGTGGGAGACTTTTTGATGGAACTAACCCGCATTACATGGAGAGAGAAAACCCCACGGTTAGCCTAACGGGAAGGGGACTCTAACCCATAATCCTTCTACCACTGAGGATATCATCATCACTGTGTCATTTTATGTCATCAACGTGATCGGTGCAAACCGAATGCTGATATCGTATGGATCAGCCATCACTGGGATTTGAACTCAGTACTCATCATTATGAGACGAACGCTCTATCCCCGGAGCTGTCATGGCTCAATCTAATTCTTTGTCATAAATCATATATCTTGATTTGCAGATTCACTGTATAATTTGAAAATCCCAATTTCTTATGAAATAATTCATTGTACCTATCATAATTCATTGTACCTTATAATAGCTATGATATGAAATGATAATTTATTTCTTTTTTAGACATGGTAAGGAAGGAAGGTTGTGGCATGCCCATGACACTTAATTCTTCCCGTGACATTTGATTTTGCTAAATTTCAAAACACCCGGCTCTTAACATGGCTATGAGGGACTTGATTGAAGCTGATTGTGGGCTAACCAACCCTCTCTTGAAGGTTGCCGGCCACTTTACCCAAGATAAGAGTCAACAGGTGTGTATGCTACTTTTTTGAAAGGTTTATGTTAATGAGTTTTATTTAAAATCTGATCTTGTAGCCTATGTAATTATTTGTTATAATTAAATTTATATTATTATAATTAAATTTTTACATACTTAAGGTCTTAACTATTTATGTAATATATTTATGGGGAACCATGCATCGGTATATTTATTGGTTAATTGTTTTAATCTTCCTTATGAAAAATATGTCTCCGAGTAAACCTTCAAGTTCAAAAGGAAAATTGGAAAAGAACATTGCAATTAATGATTTTAAAACTGTCTCCTAAGGAGCAGTATTGTGGGAAGAAAAACATATTACTCTACTGTATAGCAAATATAAAGCACTTATTTCAATTTCTAGTGATCCAAATTAATTAAATTTAATTTTAATGACTGGTACTAACAAGCAATTTTAGGTGTTTGTGAACAAATGGGGAAAAAAAGGCATTAAAAATCAATGATCAGCTTATACGTAACATTTTCCACCTGTTTAACCTGTTAAATTTCATATCGCATTTGAAAAGTTGGACGTGACAGTCATATTTTTTTCTCTCCTTGTAGTGGCAATTTTTTCCGAAAATGTTGGCCTCTCTATGTCAGATGAATATTTAGGATGCATACATTTTTATTTTGTGTTCAAATTATTCCAGAAGTATTTAATTTTTCAGTGATCTTAAAATTTCATAATGCATACCGCATTATACTGCATTATATTGCATACAATGCATGTAATTTGAAATAAACTAGTTCTTTTTGTTTCTAATTGTTATAAAGCATATAACATTATCCTGTGTCATAAATCACTTCCTGTACACAGTTAAATAATATACATGCATTTCTAAATTTGCCTGGTGTAATAAACTTGAAGAAAAAAATAACAATCTTTAAAACTGCTGATAAATCTGCAGCAATAACTACCACAAATAAAGACAACGTAAAATACGATGGAATCATCGCGAATCGAGTATGTCCAAAAGTGAGAAGACAAATGCTCGATTGAAATTCGCCCATCACATTAAAACGTAACGCTACTTTTTTTAAAACCTTTTTAACCAATATCCATAGCAACAACCGAAATCCATAGCCGAATCAATCCTGCCGAAAATACAATTGAAAAATCACATTGATTTATGAAGAAATCGACACAATAAAAAATTAGCTTGTGATAATACAGTTATTCAAAATTCAGGATTCTTTAAAAAAATAAATAAAAAAATCTGTATTTGCTTCAGAATTGGCTTGATTAGTCATTTGCTCATGGTAATGATATGCTCAATTCAATTTTACTACATTTTCACCAACCGTTGTGTTCTATCTGATTTATATCAATCAAAAATTCTCCTAATTGTGTCATTTTATTGAAAAGGAATTGATAAAAATGAAAAAAGAATATTATTTTTAATGCGAAAGATTCAAAATTTTTTATTTTAGGAATTTTATTATCATTATTGTTATTATTTGCAATGGAAGATTAAGCAAATTGTTTGAAATGATCAATGTGAGGATCAATCTTTTATAATAAAATGAAGTTGATTTCATTATATAATCAGACGTTTTGTACTAAAATAAAATTACAAAATTGTAGGCATTTCATGATTTAATGTTTCAATTCTTAACATTCTATAAATACTATAAATAATAACATAATTACTATAAATTCTCATAAGGTTTTGAATGTCATAAAATTTTCTGTATTTTAAGTGATTTCTTCTGCAATTTTTTAGTGAATCTTCTGTAATTTCAAAAATTGGCGTTTGTAGGTATGCCAGTGCATGTATGCCTTGCCTAAAAATTATTCAAATAGCAAAAATACTGCTTTTTTCCCCTTTTGTTCTTCTGTTTCAGAAGATATTTTTGCTACTTTTTGGAGTAAAATCAATCTGTTATCAAGGAATATAAGTTTGCAAATAATTTTGGATTGTTTTTTTATTCTTTTAATATTACTCTGTTTTAGTCTCATTTGTTCAGAATTGTATCACATTCGTTGAGAATTATATTAAATATACTGACCTAAATATGCCAAAAACTTATTTTATTCATATAAAAAATTAAAGAGAAAAAAATTTCTAATAAATTTATTTTGAATTTTTTATATTTTTTCATACTTCTTTGACGATTTTTAAAAATAAATATTTAGCCTCATATTTTACTAATGCAATATTATTATTTTATACCAAAAGTTCAGTTAAAACTTTCTTATTTGATGCATTTAAATTTATATATTTGGTTTTAATTAATATTACATTTTGTTCCCATCTAGGCTGTTCAATCTTCTCGGGGTTCTGCATCAGATCAAGTAAGTATAAACTTTTTACGAAAATTTATGCAACTTTTACAAGCAGTTTCCCTACCAGGGGTCTGTCCAGACATTTTGTGAAAGGTCTTGTTTTATTAAAATTGTGAAAAAACTACTTATAATTTGTGAATATAAAATAAGCGTTAAGTCACATTCTTTCAACCAGGGTCCTGCTTTTGTGAATTTGTGCAAATAGGGTCCTGTTATTGCAAAAATTGCTAAAAACCTTTCCTAGAAGTTTTTAAATTGTAAATCGGTACAAGATTCTGCTCAACAATTGCTGCTACTAAATTAGAGATGGAACATGCAAATATTTGGTATTAAGCCTAAACTGCTCAACACAGAATATTCATTGCAGACGAATAATGGAAACAAAATCACTCACATTTTTAATAATTTCAATTGACATATTTTAAATAGCCACTTTTAATGTGTTACACATTAAGTAAACTTCAACAATTCTTAAATTTATAATACTTTATTTAAAAAATTGCCAGAAATTAATTTTTATTTGCGTAATATTCTATTAATTAATTTTATGAATAAATATAAATTGATCAATTACTTATTTACAAGAAAAATCATGATTTAATATCAATAAGAATGTGCACACGATGTTTGTAAAAATAGAAATATCTTCTTAGAATACTACATTTGGAATTTAAACTTAGGGAAACTTAGTTTGTCTCGAACCGCCTTTCTTCTCCCCCCTCCCCCGGAAGGGTTTATTCGATTAACGAAACGATAATGAATATAAACAAATTTGTGAAGGGTCCGATTAAAAGATAAATTATTTTATGAAGGGTCCGTTTTTATGAAAAAATATTTTGTGAAGGGTCCATTAACAGACCCAACTTTCTTCTAAACATTATAACTCCTGCCTACATAAATATAATTTTAAGTAACTGAAAATTTTTTTTTTATGATATTGTGATTTTTATTTTGTGGTATTAATTTTACTACAGTTGGTCAAGGAATTTCTTTTGGACACCAATCAAGCCGAAAGACATGCTCCTGAAACTTTCAATATGCAGAGTTTATTGCATCAAATGTCTGAAATTGATGCTTTATACTACCAGCCTCCTGAAGGTAATAAAGAATGTGTGTATAACTTTTTTTTTAAATATTACTTCTTTAAATTTTATTTTGAATTAAACACATACTTTATTAATCGTGTTCTTTTCTTTCATTTTCTTTTTTCTAGTCAAGCATGAAAGTTCTGAGGAAAATGTCTGGGTTGAAGCTTACTTGGATTCTCATGATCTTGCTTATGAAAATAATCGACTAAATTCTCTTGATTCTTTGGATAATTCTTGGGCAGATGAGTATTTAATTACATCTGAACAAGATATACAGTGAGTATAACTGCTTCTTAAATTTTGTTATTTTTTTTAGTATTTTGTGTCTAATCCAATTTATGAAGTTATAATAGATTCGCATTGGAATTATGTAATTCCACATCAAATCAATCATCAAAAATATTCTTTTTAAATCAAAAATCTAGATTTTAATCATTTTCGACATGTTTGTTTATCCTACTTCTGACAAAAAGAGATGACAAGTTTAATTTTTGAAATTTATTTATTTTCTAAAAATGTTTTAATTGATATTCCAATTTCCGTTGAGAAAATAGTTTAAGAAAAATGCATTGTTGTTTTATTTATGGGTATAAACTTCAAGCAAATAATTATATTTTCTGTTTTTAAAGACTAGTTGAGAATGATATTTTTGTTTCACTTTATTTTATTAGGCAGTTAAGGACTGACATATACTTAAATATTTAATTATGAAAATTATCATTTCAAATATTTTTATAACTAATATTATTCTCACACCATATTAATATTCCCTCATTTAATAAAACTTCTAATAATTTAAATGTTTTTATTTTTTTAAAAAAATATTGAGCATGACTGGTATGTTTTTCTTGTTTAGTACCTTATACCATATCTTATTACAAAAAATTAGAATTTTTTGTTTTGTTTGTACAACTTGAAAATAGTTTTACTGTAGGGAATAACCCTAAAATTTGATTTGTCATATTTATTATATCATTTGTAACATGTGATGTAGAATTATTATAGAAAAAAGATTATTACTTTATAATTTTATTGAAATCTATCCAAAATAAAGCATTCATCTGTAAATGGAGCAAGAGGGTGCAAATGAATATGACGAGAAAGATTTTTCATTTATTGCATTCATGGAAAAAGCTATTTATAACTAACTAATAGGTATTATATTTCAATTGAAGTGTTTCACAAATTTAATTTTGTTGTTTTTTTAATTTTTTTTATAGAAATCAGCGTACTTTAGGTAATGATTGGGCTGAAAACTTTAAAACTGAACAGTGTGCTGAAAATAAGAATTGTCAAGAAATTGCTACTGATCTTGTTGCTTCTGTAAATGATCCTAATTTGAAGGAATCTAAAGTATGTTTTATTACTGTTTTCAATATTGATCTTATTATAAATCAGAAATTTAAGGTTTCAAAAAGTATTTCTTATCACTTATACATTGATTAAATTCGAAGAATGATGTGAAGATCAAATTGGTGATTTAAAAGCTCGAAAGCTATCTAAAAATGTCTAGCATCAAATTTATGGTATTTAACTCAGCATTCAATGTCTCCTTATTGGATGGAATCTTGAAAATTTCAAGCCGAGATCTACTTAACTCTAATTAATGACATTAAGACATTTATATTTGGTTTTTCAGGGTTACTACAGAACAAGGAGAAGTCAGAGAATTGTATCAATTTGAAATTTGACTAAATTATCCCAAAAACCAGCAAAAAAGTTAATGTCACCAAAAAGTACAATATTTTTTTACACATTTCCCCCCCCCCCATTTTTACCTTTTTTTAAGAAAAAAAAGTTTAATTTCAACTCTAATTCTCAGTTATTAGTGATTTCTAATATACTTTGTGCACATAAATAAGGCATAAGTGTAAAATTAATTAAAATATATATATATTTATGCCAACGGTTACAAAAAATCTGGTAAATTTTATAAAATCAATCTGGAAAAGTCTGTAAAGTTTTTTTTTCTGGTGGGTACCCTGTCAATTCAGCTGAATCAATTTTTAGAAATTTTTCATCTTTGTATAAATTTACAAATGCGTTTCATCCAGGATCCACTCTATAAAACCGATTTTTGATCAAAATTTCACTAAGAAATTAAAGATAAATCTCAAATTTATAAAGGAGAAGGGTTTGGGAAAAACAATTGATTTTTAGTTAGTTTTTAAATTATTGAAAATAATTGCATTTATCAATTACTTCAATTTATTATACTAGATTAATTAAAGCTTATGTCATATGCTGTGGCAGCTGATAAGTTTTCCTTTAGCACAATTTTTGTTTGTGACACTTTTGTGGTAATTATCATCAATTTTTACTGCAAAATAAGAACTGCAATAAATGTAATAGATTAAGAATTGATAGAACTGAAAATCAATTTTTTATTTCGTTTATTTAATTTTAACGGTATAGATTCTTTATTTGTATTTATCTATCACTTAATGATTACTTATTGTTTCTTAAACTCTTATTCTATTTGGCAGAAAACTTTCTTTGATTACTTTTTTCCCCTTTAAATAATATTTAATATTGTATATATATTTTTTTAAATAAAAGTATATACAGTGGAGCATCGTTTATACGACGTCGAAGGGACCACTGAAAAACGTCGTATAAACGATAACGTCGTATAAACGATTTTTTCTTTCAAAACTCGTAACTAACTCTGTTTTCAGTTAATTTTAATGTTTAATGTGTTGATTTACATAAATTTCTAAATTAGACAAAGCAAAACAAACAAATAACCATAAAAAAAAAAAGAAAAATTACAGTAAGCAATTTGAATGTACGTTACATTTATTTTATTTATTTATTACTACTTTTTTTTTGGATTACTCCAAATTTATTTATTATTTTTTTTTTCACTTTAATCATTTCACGTTACGTTTACAGAAAAAATTATTTACGGTTGTTTGATGTAAGGATTGACATTGAGCTTTATTGTTGTCTTCGTTACCTGAGACCATGCCAACGAAATCGTATTCACTGTTTGGAGAACACTTATTTCCTTGTGATTAGGCTCTGCAATGCTTTGAATATTGAGTTCAACTAACTACTCTCCATACTGCAATTTTACATTCCTAATCACGGCCAAATCTAATGGCTGAAGCACACTTGTGCAGTTTGCAGGAAAAAGTGAACTCTTACATTTTCCCAAAAATTAGTAACCGGTGGGTGAGCTGGACATTGGTCGATAAATAGCAAAATTTTTAGTTTTTGCCTCTGCATAACATTCTCTAGTTTTTTCAGATAACTAGTAAAAATTTCGGTCGTCTTCCACGCATTCTTATTGGCGTCATAATTCAGCAGAAGCGTTTTGATATGCTTTAGACATCTGGAATTTTTTGATTTTCCTACCACTAAATGAATGATCTTTTCACTTCCACCAGAGTTTACACAAAGCAGCACAGTAAGGCGATCTTTTTCTTTTATACCTCCTTTACATTTTTGCCTTTATGAGCTAATGTCCGATTCGGCATTAAATGATGGAAAAGACCCGTGTTTAGTGTGAAGAATAAAAGTGAAATAAACGTAAACAAAATTTAAAAACAGATGTATAACCGATTCTGTGCGTCGGTTAAACGATATATTTTTACATTAAAATGAATAGGAATGAATTGGGTCCACACTAATACGTCGTATAAATGTAAACGTCGCATAAACGATCGTCGTATAAATGATGCTCCACTGACCAANATAAAAGTATGTCATTTAACTTGTGACTTATATTATTTTGCTCATTAATTTTGCTGATTTATTTGTATGAATAGCTTGTAGGGTATTTTAATTTGTTCTCTGGCTGTGTGGCATAAGTTCTGAATAATATAAATATTTAGTCGCTAGATATCTGTTTATATACTGACTTGAAATTTTTTACTATCAAAATTATTAAAATTGTTTTTATTTATCAATTTTTCTTGTGATGGAAAATTCATCACAGTTTATCATGAATAAAACATGTATACATATATCTGCAATTAATATATATATTTGACGTGTGTAAAATATTTTTCTTTTAGTTTATGAAATTTATACAAAAAGTCAGTGATGGGGAGGTGGAGGTAGAAAATATTGATAGAGACAAGCATGTTGTTGCAGACATTTGGAGCTCAGATTTTGCATCTGCTTGGCCTCACGTGAGTTCATACTTATTTATTTCAATTTGGAATTCTTTATTACAGCAATTTCTGATAGGCCATTACTGAAGTGCAGCCTTACACACTGACTTTCTTTTTCACAAATCTAGTGCAAATGCAATAGCAAACAAATCTCTTTTTTAAGCAATTCATTTAGGAATGCATTCATTGTTTTTCTGGCTGTTATTGCTATGGGTAATTACATGGTTTTCAAACTCAAAATAATTTTATTATGTCATTATTACGACGCACATTGACGCATATGTATTCATTTATGCTTGTTTTGTGTTTTTTAATTTATTTATTTCAATTTGAAATTCTTTATTACAGCAATTTCTGACAGGCCATTACTGAAGTGCAGCCTTACACATGGATTTTCTTTTTCGCAAATCTAGTGCAATAGCAAACAAATCTCTTTTTTATGCAATTCATTTAGGAATGCATTCATTGTTTTTGTGGCTGTTATTGCTATTTACATAGTTTTCAAAATCAGAATAATTTTATGTCATTATTGCGACGTGCAGTTTATGAAATGGGCGTCTTTCTGAAATGACTTTTGTGTGCATTAAATATAAATAAGCTCAGCTCATACTATTACAGGGTGCGTAGCATTTTAAAAAAGTGCTTAAAGGTGCTTATTTTCGATTTTTGTCTTTTAAAAGCCCTTAAAGGTGCTTTTTTCATTGGGTGTTTTTAAAAAGTGCTTAATTTTCCCTTTTTCAAAATGAGATTTTTCCTATACCATGTTGATTTTCGTTACGAATTATACAAGAAGACACAATTCACATTGTTCTATTCAACATTTTCACAACTCATTCTCCCTCAATCTATTTTGGTGTATTGTCAGTCCATAGCGTATGAAAACGCCATTCGTTTTACACAATTCAGAATTTCATGATTTTGTCAAAATTTGAATAATTGATTTGTCATAATTGTCAAAAACAATGCCAAGAGTTTTTTTTTTAACATGATGGTTAAAACAAGATAAAACCAACCAATTGTCAAAAACTTTCCAACCCTGCCTAATTATGATATTTTTTTAAAGTGCTTAAAAATATTTTTTGAGTCCTTGAAAAGTGCTTTAAAGGTGCTTATTTTTTGTTGAATAATTTGACTATGCACCCTGTATCACATGCCTCACATAAAATATGTGTGTGCTATTTGATGTATGTTTACGTTTCTCTGAAATTTTTTTTTGTGCTGCATTTAAATCATGCTTATTTACATAAAATAACTGTGCTTAATTTTATCTTTTATTTCCAGCAGCTTTTTTTTTAAATCAAAGCTGATTACAACTTCAGAGTGTGTCATAATTAGAATAAATATTCAGCTTGACTATTAACCTTTTATTTATTTCAATTTGAAGAAAATGAAAAATAACACGAACATAAGTTATTAACACAGTATTCTACTTGTAACATGTAAGTTGTTTTTTAGTAATTTAAATTTTTGTATGAAATTGGAAAATACATAGTTTTCAGTTTCCCCAGAGTTTACATGGATTGGTAGACATCTGATTTAAAGATGGAAGCAAGCATGTCAATTTAATTATTTGGGATGCCAGCTAGAAATATAATACAATTGTCAAAAGGGAATGAATAAAAAACCTTTAAATTGGTTACAAATATGCATATTTGAACTAGTTATAGGCCTTTTGCCTGAATTCTATGTATTTTTAGCAGCAGGATAGTAATACATTTGTTTTATGAAGTGTTTAAAAAAAGTATTGTTATATGGTGTGTAGCGTTTTTAAAAAGTGCTTATTTTCAACTTTCGTTATTTAAAAGCCCTGAAAGGTGGGTTTTTTTTTTTCATCGGGTGTTTTTAAAAAGTGCTTAATTTTCCCTTTTCGAAAATGTGATTTCTTTAATTTACCATGTCGATTTTTGCCACGTATACTGCAAAAGCGCGCTTTTCACATTGTTCTATTCAACGTTTTCACTATTCATTCAACTATCTACTTCGGCGCCCCATAGGTCCGTACCATACGAAAGCGCCAATTATTTTACATGTTTGATGAAATACTTGGGAGTACACACGTGCGTCTGCTGAGCTGGGTTCGGTGAGATTCTGTGTGTGTGTGTGACTAATCCCCTCACTGTCTAGCGATAGCTAGACATTATCCATGAGTCCATACACTCAAAAAATCAAGGGCAAGCAAAGGGTCCATCGCGAAAGTCTCCTTCGAAATGCGAAGACAAGCCAGAATGTGCTTCAGGGACGCACTTTCCACTCCGCACTTTGCACAAACCAGGAAAACCATGTTGCCATTGCAAAAGAAGCCACTCCTCAGGTGACCTCTGCCAAATCTCGACAGTGCCGCCTGGTCGGCTCTATCGCAGGAAAGGCCAATGGAGCCCCCAGGACATCTCCGCTAATACCAATCACGGGATGGAGGGACCCTCCAAGACTTTAAGTCATCGTTTTTCCAGATGGAGTAAAGCTTGTCAAAAGTCAATAAGGCAACTGAATACAATGGCTCAACCAAGCCCTGCTTTGCCAAGTCGTCAGTGGCCTCATTTCCATAAATCCCCGAAAGCGAAGGAATCCGTTGGGGATGCACTTTGTGAACCATAGCACTCTGTCTAAGTAATTTCAAAATAGCAATGCTAGCGCGGTCACCAACATTGGACCAATCCTTCAAGTGCTGCAATGAACTCTTACTAACAGACAAAATCCATACCACTCTATAATTAGTATCATTCAAAATGGCCTCAAGACCGGCCTCGATAGCCAACAGTTCGCTTCTAAACACCGAGCAATTGTCCGGGTTTCTAACTTTAATTTTTCTGACTTAGCTATTAGGAGTCTTAATATATACTCCACTCCCGGATTGATGTTCTTCATTTTTGCTCCCATCTGTGTAAATTTGGATATCTAGTTCAGGGATTTTGTTGATTATCTCAAGTGCCAACTGCCTCATAAGATCCAGGACTGTAATTGCTTTATTCACAGCCTGTTATAGTTCAGTGTGGAAGAATACTCCCCTTGATCCCTACGATGGATCAATACAATATTTCAGGGAGTGGCGTTGGACATCCCGGCTGAATAAATTCAACTCCGTGGCCGGAATCATTGAACTGTTTTTCTTTAATGTCCTAGATAATCCGAGGTACGATTATGAGAGCCATATCTTATAAGTTTGTTAAAATATTTGATGAGATTCTTGCACTCTCAAGTGCAACTCTGCTGCATTTTGCAAGATATTCTCCATTTCAGACTTCATTTTCCACCCTCTGATAACGAAACAAAAAAATCTCTTGGTTGTTTTATAATGGCTAATATAATTAAGAAAAGAGTTCTTTGTCAGAAACTAGTTATTTTACCATGATCGTGTAAAGTCTTTGAAAATTATTTTGCTTTTTGTTGATGTACATAGTGCTTAAAAATATTTTTTGAGTGCTTAAAAAGTACTTAAAAGGTGCTTATTTTTTGTTATGAAATTTAACTATGCACCCTGTGTTAGATAATTATTTTTATGGTTTAGGAATGGTTTTTATAACCATCAATGAACCGCCGACAAAATGTTTTGGGTTAACGACTTTTAATTTTCAATTCCGTTTCCTTGTAATTTTAAATCCAACCCAGAATAAAAGTGAACTCCTGGATCAAGTATTGGAAGATATTTGCCTTCTTGGAAGACTTTTTGATGGAACCAACAAGCATTTGTGTTACTTGGAGAGGAAAATCACGTAAACCTCCCACGGTTAGCCTCACGGCAAGAAGACTCTAACCCATGATCCGTCTACCACTAAGGATATTTTACGTCAGCACTGTGGTCAGTGCATAGGAGTGGTTTTTAAAAACATTTCATATTTTTAATATTTATGTTGTTAAAATAATGTATTTAATAATTTTGTGTAATAGAAATAATCCATATTTTTTAGCCTGTTGAAAATTTAGAGGAAGCTTGGGAAACAACTGCCCAAGAAAATAAGGTGCATAGGAGTGGTTTTTAAAAATGTCATATTTTTAATATTTGTATAGTTATAATAATGTATTTAGTAATTTTGTGTAATAGAAATAATCCATATTTTTTTAGCCCGTTGAAAGTTTAGAGGAAGCTTGGGAAACGTCTGCCCAGGAAAGTAAAGATTTCAAAACATTTGTTCGAACTGAGGATGAAAGGGAAGAAGAAGAAAAATGTGATGCTGATTTTTGGGACAATCTTCAAAGGGAATGGGAACAATTGGCTAAGTTAGTCTATTATCTTTATTTGCTAGAAAAGTTGGAGATTTCGTTTAAACAATATTTAAAACTATTGCTGTAAAAGTTTTTATTGCTGTACACGTTGTATTTATTGCTGTAAAAGTTTTACGAATTATGCTGAAAAAAATTAATTTTGTTTGATAAATTTTTACATTAAAATTAAATTAAGAACTCATTAAAAATAATGTGTTTTAATTTTAAAAAATGAATTAGTTGTACTAATATATTTCATTTAAATATGATTTTGATTTAGATATTCAAACAAACATTGAATGTCTAAATTAAAATAAATCAAATTTGGTTTTAGCTGCTTTAGGCGTTTTTCCATTTTGATTTAATGTTTTAATAGTTAATTTATTTCGTTGTTTATTTTTTGCTTTTGTAAGATTCATTTTCTGATTAGAATGATTTTGAGGCTAATACTATTAAAAGCAAACTAGTACCCCCTGCATTTTTATTACTTTTTTTAATAAGAAATAATNTATTCCATTTTTTTAATCTATTATTATTAATCTATGATGTTTTATTTGATGATAAATAATCATTTTTAAGGTCCTTAATTTCTACAAAAAAAGTCCTTAATTTTTTTGGTAAAAGTGCTTAATTTTTGCTTTGATAAAAGAGTGGGAACCTTGAATAAGATATTCCTACATTACAATATAATGTTTTGTTTCTAGCAAAATTAATATAATACAAATAAATTGTATGAATTATTTGTTTACAGTCTTAAAAAATTTTCAAACTATCTTTGTATAGTTTAATTAGAAAATTTTAGGTTGTCTTTTTATTTTAAAAATTTGGTACTAAGCTAAAGTTTCTGTGTTAAAAATTACAAATTATGTATACTTCCTTTTTAAAAATACAAAATTGATACAAAACATAGTAATATTTACACACTAGTAATATTTAAACATAGTAATATTTAAACTTAACACACCGTTTACAGAATAAAATAAGCATATTTTCGTAAAAAATAGATTTTTTTTGCAAGCTCATTGTCATTTTAACTACCTGGTCAAAAATGGTTCGTTAAAATTGGATTATTTTATTCTGTCAATGGTGTCATAAGAAAGATTTATAAATCTTTTTTATTTCAATTTTTAAGGTACTGAATATTAAAGTATTTTTTTTAAACTTATTTTAAAATAAAGCGTGCTCTTAAAACATGTAATGAACAAAAATGTTTTTTTTTCTCTGCTTATTGAAAAAAGGGGTTGCCGTAAAATACCAACGAAGTGGCCCCTTTGGGGTAAATAAACGGTACTGAAGAAAATGCAATCCAAAAATCCGTTGAAAGCAATGTCCGAGTTATCGTCTAAAATGAGATCCGTTCACTTTTTATTCAGTTCATCAGTAATATTATTGTCTCTGACTTTAACTTCTGCTAATCGGGAATTTTAAAAAAACTGTCCTCTCTCCTATGTAATGGGTTGGAAATACTACGATGCTTACATGAGTTTCAGATTGTCTTTTCGGCGATGGTCTCCAAAGTGACCGATACAAAGAATCTTGCTGCGGTGGCCCACATTCTTTTCTTTATGCACCTTTTAAGGACGCCATCCATGAAACATCTGCTGGCTGCAGATGGCTTTTGCAACCTGGCTGAATCAAAATTATATCTGTGTCCAGACTTTTTAATTTTTCAGAGAGACTTGAGGTTCAGTAACGAACTTTCCATGAGGTTAGCTATCATCCATCCATTGACAGAGCAGGAAACCTTAACATTGTCTGGTGTTTTTAGGTGATTCTTTCTAAGAAACGATTTCTCCCTTTTATTCCATATCTCTTCCGTTCAATTCCACCTCTTTTTCTATTCATAGTTTTCTTTCCCTGTTAGGACACTTATAAGAGTGACATCCTCTTCCTTTTACTCAATCTTTCACATTCAATTTTCTGTGTCCCAACCAACCTTAAAATTTTCCCCTTTCTAACTGTCAAGTGTACGTACCTTTCAATGTGACTCGAACCTAAATGCAGCAGGGAGGAAATGTTGACCACATGTGCATAGGATTGCTTCCATCTCTCTTCCTACTTCACTTTACAGACACCTGTGCTTTTTTTAGCAATCTTCAATTCAGTTACTGTAATTGATTAATTATCTTCCTTTTCTTTACTCATTTACGGTATAACATTAATCTTCTACCGTAAACATAGGTGTAACTATTTTTAGAAGCGAATAATTCATAAAGAAATTTTTAAAATAAGAACTCATAAATTGTGTTGTAATGAAGGGGGCACTTTTTTGGTACTGATTGACAATCAGTATGTGTGTTAAACTGTAGGAGGGCGCTTTTTAGAGTCTGGGCATTTTATTGGTATCTAATGTATCTTTTTATTTATGAAGAATTATAATTTATGTTGTTTTTTTAGAGATGAAGTTGAACATCCTTGGTTATCTGATTATGAAGGTGTTGATCCTTATAAAGTAAATACTATTAATCACTTCTCTAATTTCAAAATCATTTTAGGCTAAATTAAGAGTTATTTATTTTTGAGTGATATTAATATTTTTCTTTTTCTTTATTTCTAGGTGTATCCATTTTCAGAAGAAAATCCCTACAATGATCACAGTTCTCCTTTTGAGGAAGGTCTTCAAATGCTCAGATGTGGGGATTTGCCAAGTGCTGTTTTGTTATTTGAGGCAGCCGTACAGAAAGAACCAAATCACATGGAAGTGAGTAGCTCTTTTTCCCTTCAAGGGAGTGCAAAGAAAGATGGATTTTACGAATTCTTTTAATTATATTTCATTTAATTGTAGCAAACCAACTTAATATAAACTTTATTCAGTTGTATGTTTTAAAACATAAATGTAGTGAGCATTATTTCAAAATTTATTCACATTTTTTCTGAACCCTGTATACTATTCTTCAATTTTCATTTTTAGAAAGGTGATTAAATTTTACAAATTTGTTTTTAGATTTTAAGAAAAACATTGATTTTCTTTTCAATTTGTTAATTATTAAAAAAATTTAGAGTTAAAGTTGTAAAATATTAATATAATTTATTAATAAGTTGTAAAATCATATTAATAGATTTTTAGAAAATGAATTAATTTCATAAATTTAAACGTGGGAATTAGAGTGTCATCGTAACACTTATCCAACTAGCTTATTCTTTTTTTTTTCACACTCTGAAGAACTTCTCCCTATTTGGTAAAATTTGTATTGCAATTTTATCAAGACATGCTCTTATAACAAATACACTGTTTCTTGCCAAATATTAATGTCATCGAGCTGAAGCATTCTGAATCGCTATGAGTAAAGGAATTATATAAATTATGAGTTTAAATTTTTTTTTTTGCTAAGTAAAAGATTCATTTAAAGACCAAAAAGCTTGAAATAATCTTTAACTGAATAATCTTTTTGTCTATTTCCAGAGAATTAACAATTTGGTACCTACAAATTACAGTACATTATTGTTACATTAATATTGGTACCTATCAATGTCTAGTTTTAAGATACTCTTCAAAACAATAATTTATTTTATGTTTCTGAATCTTGAAGATTTTTTTTTCTTAGTGTGATTTTCTTTAAAATGTGATTTATTTCTTGAATAAATGAGTAATTTTATATTGAAGGTAATGTATGAAAGGTATAAGGCAACACTATCTATTTTGTCATTTCCAAATATAAAAATAAATAAATGAATGTGATATTAGCTTTTTTATTTGCTTGCTAGCTTGTTTTTCAAAAGTTTATTAGGACACCTTTCCATTTAATTTTCAAGTAATTTAAATCATACATTTACATGTAATATGTGGCATAAAATTTTTTAATGCAGTAATATTGTTTGATATAGACTGTTATTATTTTTTAGTAATATTTGATAATTATATTTAAAAAATTATACTAATTAGAAACATAAATTTTTTGTGTGTTTTAAAAAAAAACGATTTAAATCAAAGAAGCTGGATTATAATTGGATTATTTGTAAATCCGATTTTATTATTTTTTAAAAAAAATCATGAACCCTGATACTTAAGTGAAAGATTTTAAGATTATTTGAAATTAACAGTAAAATAGGCATTTTGAATTTAATTTTTTGTAGTGTTTATCAAACACAGTGTTGGATTTTTCCTTGTTTTTAACTTATTTTTTGTTGTTTTAATATATTTCTTCATGTTCAACATATTAAAAATTCTTAAGGATCTAATAAAGACTCTTTTTCTTTTCTAGGCATGGCAATATTTAGGTACAAGTCAAGCTAAAAATGAACAAGATCGCTTAGCAATATCTGCTTCCAAAAAGTAATTAAATTCATATTTTCATAACGTTTCTTGGGTAATAATAATTAAGTTTATAAAAAAACGTCTTGATGTTCAAAACAAATTTCCAGCAATTTGAAGAATAAAAATAGTTTGAATAGAGTGTGGACTTGTTTAATATAAGACCTTTTGGTATTAGAAACAATTGGAATTCAGATAATGGGAATGAGGATCTGTTTTAAACTTAAAATATTAGATCTTAATAAAGATCTTAAAATGTTTCTTTAAATACAATTTTTTATTGTGGGCATCTTTCTTAGATAAATTTTATGTCACAATTTTTATCAGCAACAATTGTCTCAATTTTCAGCTTGTTATGCTTACCGCTAGAAAATATCTTAAATCTTGTCTACTATTTTTCTTTTCATACTTTGTTAACTGCTATTTGAATTAGCAGTTTGCCAGAATTCCGCACAGTTCTCAGCAGAATGTCTGATTACAGTCGAATTCAGTTATAACAAGCCCTTATTTAAGGATAACCTAGACTTAACAAATACAGTGCACTCCCGATTATCCGGGTTAATCACCGGGACAGGTCGTACGGACAATCGAAAAACACGGATAATCCGAAAACTCCTTTTATTCAATATCAGTACAAAAAATATAAAAATTACTGATATTTGCATGCATAACATCAAACTAGGAATTTTCCTTTTTAAAAAATGTGTAATGCGTCTTCGCCATATATCGATACACAAATTTCACGAACCGCAGTAACGTCACTGTAATCAAATCCTCTCATATAATCTTATAAAGTTTCCACAGAGCAGCAGAATGAGAAATTGTATTTCATTCATTTACTACATCTTCTGCATCAGTTACTATCATCACTATATGATTTAACAGCATAACGATGTCTTCATCAGTCAAATACTGGAAGCCAGGCTCACATGCATCACTTTGAAACCAATCTTCTAAATTTTCTTCATCAAGAATTTCGAAACCTTAGATTTCTTTTGGCTTGTTCGAGAATACTGTTATATTTTTCTTGAACATCTGAAGAGGATTGTTCATCAAGCAGTATGACCTTTCTTCAAGATCGTGATAACGTAGACAATTTTACCTTTGACCATGCTGCTGATATTCCATATACTGCAATCCAATAACGAATATTGCTTCCAAAAATTTGGTAGTGTTATAACTTCATGAACCAAATTCTTTTAATCTTGAAAATGTTTCTCTTTATATTTTTTGTGTGACTCCGGAATGAGCACTGATAATCCGCGCACGGATAATCGAGAGTGTACTGTAGGTAAAAAATACTTGGTTGGAACTAGTGGATGGCTCACTCCATTAGAATGCAATTTGTTTTTAATGAGCAAACTGGTTTTAGCGAGCAATATTTTTGAGATTCATAACAATTTTACTTACATTCCAACCAGGGGTGCAGAAAATTCTCAAGAGTCTAATATTTTCCCAAAATACAGATTTTTTTGGTTCAAAATATGCCTCAAAATTAAAGCCGTTATTATTATTTTCTTTTTAGTTACTATAACTTTGAAAAAAAAAAGTTTTTAATAAATAATTAAAGTTTGATAATATTTTTTCTTTTACAAAGTGAAAATAATTTGTTTGAATAAACTAGCATGTATGTTAAAAATAATAGAAATCAAAATATATTGAAATAGTAATAATTTATGAAATTAAATTTACTATTGAATTAAATTACTTATGAAATAATTATTAAATTACTTATGAAATTAAAATTAATGAAATTAAATTTTAATACTCTTTTTTACAAAATTTTTTTTGTTATGTGAGACTTTTTTTTAAAAAAAAAAAAGAAAGAAAATTAGGCCCAATTTCCCCTGAACCCAGTTTGTGCAAGGAGACATATTCTGCACTCTTGCTTCCACCTCTCCAGTTCAGCCAATTCTTTTTTGGAAGGATTTGTTTAACGTTCTGAAGACAACTGAAAGTTCATGACAAATCCCATAAACACATGACTTTTTTTTAAAAAAACGCAAAGTCGCGAACTGCAAATGACAGTGTTTTTTGGGCCACAAATCTTATCCGAAAAATAATAACACAACAAACAATAAGACGGTTCAAAGTAAATTAACTAACTTTTTTTTTAAATGAAAGAAAGAGTAAATGATGTACTATATTGATAATTTATTAAGGATGCATTAACTTATTATCGCAAATCATGGGTTATAAGGAACAAATGTTGCACTTGTTTGACTCTTCTTGTTTTAATTCTTTTAAATTGCTACAAATATTTCGATAAGTAGTTTGTTCATTATTGTTTTTCTGTTTTTAATGTAAGTTTAAAAGAATTTCAATGCTTTATGGTTTTTGTAGTTTTCAACTCCATCTAAATTTTCTTTCTAGGTGCTTGGAATTAGACCCAGATAATTTAACTGCTCTTATGTCTTTGGCTGTTAGTTATACAAATGAATCTTTACCTATTCAGGCCTGTGAAACTCTGGTAAAGTGGCTACATAAAAATCCAAAATACACACATTTAGTACCTCAAAATATGATAGACGATACTTCTACTGTTATTACATCACTGCTCCCAGGGTAAGCTATCATCAAGTTGAAATACATATTATAATTCATTTTACTGGACTATTAGAAATAGGTACAAATGGTGTGTATTTTTATAGGGAAGACTTGAAAGTAATTTTTTTTCGTAAAATAAAATTTAATTATTTTTTTTAAAATTTTTTTTATATAAGAATAGACTTTAATGAATCCATTGTGATTGATGTCCTTTTGATAACTTTCTGGTAAATTTTTGATCCCATGCTTATCAAACTTGTGATCCTTACCATCAAAGAAGTAAACTCAGTGCAATTTGAGGTCAATGCTATTGCTGAAATTTTTGCAATTTAAAAAGTTTTCTAAGCTTACAAATAAATGATAATCTGAGGTGCAAGGTCGGAGCTATATGACAGATGGGACATCACTTCTTAACCAAGCTCCAATAATTTCATACATTATGCTACAGATGTTTTCATTGTGATTGAATACAAATCATTTGTGATTTGCGATCCTTTATACACCCCCAACTTAGTAGCATCAGATTATCATTTATTTCAAAGTTTACAGAACTTTTTATATGGTTAAATTTTAGTAATAACCTCAACTGACTCTTAGTAATAACCTCTTGGGTGACTTTTTTGCTGATAAGAACAAAGAAATTCTACAAGCAAGGAATCATGAAGTTACTAGAAAGAGGTCAAAAGATTATCGAATGGAATGGAAAATATTTTATTCATTTATTGTAGTTTATTTTTGTATTTTACTCTAAAAAAATTACTTTTTTGCCAACCCAATGCTATGTACCTCTTTGTATATTAAGCTACCTTTTGTTCAAAAAATAAATTTTTGACATTTTTTTATTTTTAAATATTTGTTTATTTTCAAGTAAAATTTTTCTTATGTGATATCTCTTCTTTTTTTCCAAATTTTTTTTAAATTTAGACTCAAAACAACAAGCAATGTGTTGGTTGCTTTTCAAATAAATACAATTTTCTTAACATAAGTGATCAGAATTATGATTTTTTAGAAATTAAGAATTTTTTTTTAAAATTTTCTTAAAAGACTACATAGAAGTTAAAAGTATATAGAAGAGTATAGAATACTATATATAGAACTATATAGAAGGGAAAACTGTGTGGTAATTTGGTATCTTAAAGTCTGTTAAAAACTTTTACAACTGTGCAATTTAAATATTCTTAATTTTATTCTAATTGGATCATATATCTGATGAAACTAACTCACTGCTGAAATATTTTAGAATTATTACAGCAAAAGTTGAAAATTACGTTAATAAAAGAAACTTTAGCAAAGCCTCTTTCTCTATTTTTATGAAATTATCAAATGATTATCAAATTCTTTTAATATTTCTTTCCTATATCATCTTTATTTATTTTTAATAAAATCAACAATGGAAAGTTGTAGTAAATGGAAAACTCTGTTTTTGTTAGTTTTGATATTGGTAATAATTCCTTGAGTTAATAAAAAAAAATATTTTGCTTTGTAGTTTCTATTAATTGGAAGTAGATATCTTTGCATATTATAGGTACTACTTATTTCTGATCATATAGTTGCACATTCCTCTGAATGTTCCAGGGGAACTATAAATTTTGTCAGATTTTCTTAATAAGAAGTTCATTAGATTTTTGTGTATTTCTAAGCATATAAAAATGCAAGTTCAATCCCTAAAACTGGAAAAGTTAATAATAACTATTTCTTATTTTATTTTTCATCTAGCTTATTACTTACTAATCTTTAAATGATTAAATTTTTATAATATAGTACTGTTCAATAAAAGGAGCCTTTAAAAGTTTCAAAAAAGTTTTTTTTATTTATAACCATCTTTTTTATTTTTAATTTAAGGATTTTTTTTGTGAACTGTCTATTTTGTTAGTTGTTCACAAATGCTTAATTTTGGTTCTCTAAAAATATCTAATCTTTGTATTATTCATGTGTTATACTCATGTGTATTAGTACTTTTTTATTATATAAAATAAATTTATAGTAATTTTTGATAGAAAGGCGCACTGTCATGCATGCCGCACACGCAAAAAACTTATTTTAAAAACATTTCATTATCATCACATATGTTGCACCGTCATGAACGCATGCACTTTCGAATTTAGCCACGATAGATTTATTGAGAAAATATCCACTCCTAAGAAAAAAATTTGGAAAGGTGGATGGATGCAAAACACAATGCACCGATCATGTGGCTCTGATAACCTCATCAATAAGAAAGGCAAGAATATTGTCTTCTCTTCTTTCTCACTTCTCGATAAATCACATCCTCTCCCAAGAACAATCTCTTGTAGATTTGAGTTCGAATTTCCATTCGGGTTTCGTGTCTTTTCCTTGTTACATGATTTTTTAAAAAATTTTTGCTTTGCACATTTTTAACCTGGAAAATTTTTTTAAAATCGCCAGAGCACACACATTCAATTAGATTCCTGATTTGGTGGTGAATTGGATTTTGTTTTGCATCCATAGTTGACGTTGTATAGTCATCGATCAAAAACTTGTGTTACCCTGCCTTATTTTCATGAATATTAATTAAAAATGAGAAAAACTATTTCTATATGATTTTCCAAGCAAATTATTACTGATTCACTAATTTAGAAAAAATTTTGTAAAAATTTATTTTTGATTAAATCTACATTGATTGCAGAATGTTCTCGTGCAAAGACCATGGAAAAATGAAAGTTGTGAAATTGGTCGTACCAGTAAATGCACTGCATGTAAAAATAATTTGATTTTTAAATACAGATAGGCAGGTATTGTTAATTTGTGTTTGATAGTTATTGAGCTAGTATATTTCCACTCTAACCTCTTCTTTTTTTAAAAAAAAATCCTCTTTATTTTTAATGTGTCGAACAACAGTCAGTAGGAATATTAAATGTTGTAATTTTGTAGGGATAAACACAAAGCAACTCAAGATATGTTTATTGAAGCTGCTCGAATGAATCCTAGTGATCCTGATCCAGATGTACAAAATGGTCTTGGAGTTCTTTTCAATTTATCTGGGGAGTATGAAAAAGCTATTGATTGCTTTAAAGCTGCTCTACAAGTAAAACCAGAAGTAAGAAATTTAAATTATATTTCGTTATCTTTTTTTGACAATAAAGCAACTTAATTTTAAACATTTGTTTCATAGGATTCCCACGGTACTTGAAAAACCTTGAAAGTTCTTAAATTTTGTTCAAAAAAATCAGGACCCTGAAAAGTCCTTGAATTCTGCCATAGAGTACTTGAAAAGTACTTGATTTTTTTGGATTTAAAATAATACTAATCTTTCTTACAAAGAAGTAGTAAAAAAAAAAAAAATTCAAAGGAAGATTTTAAAAAAAAAATTTTTTTTGAATTTTTTTTGTCAATTGGAATTTAAGTGATTTGAAAATAGCAATGTAACTATCAACTATTTGTATTATAAACTGATAAATAAATATATTTTTTTAATTTTTTTTGTTGTCAAATAAGCATTGTGCTTTAAAAATATGCATTTTCTGCTTCGACGTAATTGTAAAATTTGGTTGACATGTACTTAAGCATATAACTGTAGTACCAATCAGGTCCTTGTAAAATTTGATTTTAGGTCCTTGAAAGTCATTGAAAAGTCCTTGAATTTTTTAAAAAAATTGAGTGGGAACCCTGTTTTAGTGTTTAAGAAAGATCAAAAAGTAAAAATTATTTTATTTATTTGTTGATATCACTTAGGAAAAGGTAAAAATTATTTTTTAAAAAAAGGGAGTTTTTATCGAAACTAATATTTTTAGATATGTTTTAATGTAAAAGGGATATTAAATTTTTAATTAATTGCTTCTCTGGCGTGATATGTTAAAAACAATGTGAAGCAACAAATTTCCAAAGCAGTTTCAAGCAACACTTTTAACCTTGAAGTGTTCAGAACAATTTTTTAAAATTACTTAGAACTACAATTTACTTATTAATACAGCATAGTATATGAATCATACAAAATTAACTGTAATTGCCAATTGTTTAACTTTACAATCAAAATATATTTATNTTCGAGGAACCAAGAACATTTTGGAAATTTTTTCCTAAAATAACTTCCAAGTAGCGAAGTGGATTTTCTATTTAACGAACTTTTCTTTAACCACTTCCCTTACTAATTACTTTTTAAAAAAATAATCTTTTTTTGTCAATTGGAATTTTTTAAGTGATTTGAAATAGCAATGTAACTAACAACTACAGTCAGTACCGCCTATATGGTCACCCTCTTATAAGGTCACCCCGCTTATATGGTCAATTTTCTAAAGTCCCGTCTAACTTAATAGGAAACACGTGTTAAAGCTCACCGCTTATATGGTCATCCTATTTTTCGAGTTACCGGTTATATGGTCAGTTTCCTTTTTTTTTTCTTTTGAAAAAAGATACATTTTAAGACATTTCTTTAGACAGGAAGCCAAGAAAAATGACCAGAAGGTAAACACATTCCTTCGACCCCCGGAGAGAACTGGAATTTCCCCCCTCCATTTCGTCACCCTACCCTCTTTTCTCTTTTGCATTCATTGATGATCTTACCCTCTCCTCATTTGACCACTGGCATTCTTTTCCCCACCCAAGGGCAAAAGGTCTTTTGATCGTTTGAAGTTATCTTTCAGAGCTTGAAAAGGAGTTGAAGTTGAGAGAAAAGAACATTTTTATTGGATTACTGAACGAATAACATATCCATGCTTTCATTATGGCTTCGAAAAGAAAGAATTTAACAATATCGGAAAAAATGAATTGGTTGAAAAGTTTAAAAAGTCTAACCTTTCAAAAGCTACTTTTGCCAAAGAAAATTCTATACCGCGAACAACTTTAAACAACATTTTAGCAGCCAAACGTAGCTGTCCAGATGTTTCAATTAGCGACCGAGAAAAAAAACGTCAGCGTGTGTCACCTTATGAGAATGTGGAGAAGGCTCTTCTGTCATGGATCAAATATGCACGATCACAAAATGCTCCTATATCCTGGAATATTCCAAAAGAAAAAGCTTTAGAAATAGCTAAAGAACTAGGAGAATCAAATTTTGTTGCAAGCAATGGCTGGATACAGCGATTCAATGCAAGAAATAACCTATTCTTTAAGAAATTGTGCGGAGAAACTGCTGATTTTGACAACAGTTCTTTAAAAGAATGGAAAGACGTAGTGTTGCGAGATATTCATGAAAGATATGAACCTGCTAACGTGTTCAACGTTGATGAATGTGGACTTTTCTATAGGATCTTACCCGACAGAACCCTTTGCTTCAAATGAGAAAAATGTGTAGGCGGAAAAAAAAGTAAGGAACGCTTAACAGTTTTGTTATCTGCAAACATGGATGGTTCGGAGAAAATGATTCCTTTGGTGATTGGAAAATTTCTGAAACCGAGATGCATGAAAAATTGTAAATCTTTGCCCCTTTCGTATGATGCCAATTCCAAAGCATGGGTGACCCAAACGATCTGGGAAAAAACTCTCAGAAGGTGGGACCTACATTTTTCAAAGAAAAACAGAAAAGTTGCATTGATTGTTGATAACTGCACTGCTCACTGTCCTGTTGAGGGCTTGAAATCGATTGAGCTCGTATTTTTGCCTCCAAACAGCACATGTGTGTTGCAGCCTCTAGATCAAGGCATAATTCAAAGCTTCAAGTCTATGTATAGAAAGCTTCTTCTACGGGATATGATCACCGCCATAGACAAAAAAGAACAATTTCACGTTTCAGTTTTGAACGCACTGTTCTATATTGACCAAAGCTGGAACATGGTGTCGTCGAAAACTATTGAAAATTGTTTCCGTCACGCGGGGTTCCACAGTTCTCCAGACTCTTCGGTATCATTAGAGGACCCTGAGGAAGATCTTCCATTAGCTGAATTGGCAGAAAATCTTCGAAACCGAGGCTATGCAATGCCGGACGTAAATTTGTATTCCCAAATAGACGTTGATGTCCTCACTAATTGTGAAGCAACTGTGGAAGGCATTGTATCTAATGTCTTAAATCTGAATGCTGAAGGAAGTGACGATGAGGATGATACTGAATGCAATAAAAAGTCTGTATCAACAGCTGATGCTCTTAAGGCTATAGATGACTTAAGGTGTTTTTTTGCAAATTCAGATGCAGCAGATGAACATTTAAAAACTATCAGAGACTTAGAAAAAGTTGTTTTAACAACCAAGAAGAAGAAACAAACAAGCTTATTGGAATATTTTTTTTGAACATGTATATATGCTAAGGTAAAGAATTAAACTTTTCTAAAAGTTTAAAATTATTTTTGCATTCTTTCTTATTATGCACCTTAATAATTAATTTTTAAACGTTTTTGAAAGTTGAATTATTTGCTTAAGAAATACATTCTGATTCCAGAATATATTCAAGCCACATTAACTATACTATATATTTGGTTATCGCATATATGGTCACACCGCTTATATGGTCATAATATTCTGGAGCCATGAGCTGACCATATAACCAATACTGACTGTATTTGTATTATAAACTGATGAATAATAAATATTTTTTTGTTGTTGTCAAAGAAGCATTGTGCTTTAAAAATATACAATTTCTGCTTCTACATAATTGTAAAATTTGGTTGACATGTACTTACGCATGCAACTGTAATACTGAATAGGTCCTTGAAAAATTTGATTTTAGATCCTTGAAATGTCCTTGAATTTTTTTAAAAAATTGAGTGGGAACCCTGTTTCAGTGTTTAAGAAAGACCTAGAAGTAAAAATTATTTTAAAAGAAAGGGAGTTTTTATCGAAACTAATCAGGGATCTGTCCGGGCCGAATTTACTACCGTTTAGTGGTACCTTCACAAATTCAACTTTAGAAAAACGGTAGTCTTACAAAATACTTTTTCTTAAAATTTTATTTTTGTATCCCTTAAGAAACGATAAATCCATATTTTTGTGTTGATTTTTTATTATAATTTTTAATTTTTCACAAATTATGTCTAAATTTTCACAAAATAGGTACCTCTTAGAAAAACCTAGACAGACCCCTCCTAATATTTTTTGACATAGTGAATTTTTGGATATGAATTAATGTAAAAGGGATATTAAATTTTTAATTAATTGCTTCTCTGGCGTGATATGTTAAAAACAATGTGAAGCACCAAATTTCCAAATCAGTTTAAAACAACAGCTTTAACCTTGAAGTCTTCAGAACAATTTTTTTAAATTTCTTAGGACAACAACTTACTTATTAATACAGCATAGTATATGAGTCATACAAAATTAACTGTAATTGCCAATTGTTTAACTTTCTAATCAAAATATATTTATCTTGAACAAATATACAATTGCTTAAAAAATTTCGAATTAGCAATAGATTTAGCATTATTTTAGAAAATAGTTATTTTGAATAAATTTAAGGCACAACTAGGTTGAATTAGAAATGATTGGGATAGTTTTGGAGCAATTTAGAGCAAAAATGTTTGGTTTTGAAGTAGATATGGAGCAGCAATTACATCATTATAATTGACATTTAATAGAATAAATGCCCTTAATAAAAAGTAATAAATTTTTCAACTTTGAAAATTCAAAAAAGGAAGCAAATTTGAATAAAAAAATATCCTTATTTGAAACTTTAATCTGTTAAATAATTATTGATAGTTTATTTTTTGATATTTTAGGATAGTTTGCTGTGGAACAGGTTAGGTGCAACTTTAGCCAATAGCAATAGATCTGGAGAGGCTTTTGAAGCTTATTATCGTGCCCTTGAATTATATCCAGGGCTTATTCGTTCACGTTTTAACTTAGGAGTAAGCTGCATTAATCTTAATGCTGTGAAGTAAGTATATTTTCATGATCATCTTCCTTCTTGATAAATTGCTGTGTTAGTTAAAATGATGATTAGGCTCTCTTAAAACAAAAAATAATTAAATAAAAAGTTTCAGTTAGCACAAAGTAATGCTCGTAAAAATGGCAAAATTCGATCATTCCAATTTAAGGACCTTCTAATTATACATATATGTTGTTGTTATAGGCAATCAAGCAAGGGGTGTGATTATTTTTGTTTTCCAATTGTGCCATCTATGGCCAAGAATTCGACTTCTGCCACACCCAAATGTCATACCCGTTCATAGGGCAGACCCATTCATACATCCATTCATGCAACTTCAGATCATAATTTTGACCTGAACCAGAGAACGCTCAATCGTCAACTCAGTACCTCCCAGAGGCATAATTGGTGGTGGGGACAGGGAGGACTTGGTGACCCAGCAGATTTTACATGCACCAGTCACCATTTACTACATATGCACTTTGGCCAACTAGATTAGAACTCCCATTCTCATGAAGATTTTATATATGGTTCAGGCTTATAACCTAACTGCATATATTGTGCCAGCACTTTTTCAGCCGTTTTATTTAAGTAAAAGCAGTCAATTAAAAATTTTACTTTATCAAATTTCTATGGTGAAGAATTCATGTGTCATATACCTAATTATTGTTTTAAGCAAATGCAGAAACAAATCATGTGGAGTTTCGTAGTTTCACAATTATTGATTTGTCTTTTTCATATGATTTTAAAAATGATTCCAATCATATTTAAATGTTAAAGTGAGGAGTCTTTCAATGAATTAATTTTGTACAAAATATGAAGAAGTTCATTGTGTTTTCATTTCGAGATTATTGAAACCCTACTATAAAATTATTTAAATAATGAAATATTAAATTTAATTACAAATTTTATTTATATAATGATATGAGAGAATATTAACTAATTGATACTTGTTTTTTTTTTTTCAACACCACAATAACTATAAAAGTCTTACATTTATTGATTTGAAAGTATAACAAGTTTTTCAGTATAGATAAATTTATACTGGAAACTGTTAAATTAAAAATATGTATTTCTTCTCAATTTCATATCTCTATTTAAAATGTTTTTGACAAAAAATGTCCTCTATATATAAATTATATAAGTAAATATTTGCTTAATTTTATGTACTCATGATACAGTGACCTCGTGTTATAAGATCCATTTTCATTTGGATCGCAGGAGACATTATATCGACTTTAGCATGGTGTAAGTGAAATGGTCAAACTTGATGTAATTGATTGTGCTATATATATATATATACCCTGTGGCAGAATTTTTTCTGGCTTTCTGCGACAAACCTAACTAGAACCAATATCTTTCTGCAAGATATTTTTATCATTATAAATATAGGTGTAATGAATTTATAATAATAAATGCACTTCGTGTTTATAAAAAAAGCCTACATGCATAGAATAAAACTGTGTAGATTTTTTCTTCTTAATTTCATAATATAAGTTTAAATTTCTTAATAAGTTTAAACTGTTTAAGTTTAAATTTGCATAATCTTCGATAATTAAGAAAAATTATAAATGTATAGATCTGCAGACAAAATTGCTTATTGGAGCATAAATAAAGATTACCCAGAACCTGTAATAAGATAGAACTTAAATATAGCTAAGAATGGACAAAAAGATTACATTTATAAAACAAGATAACTGAATTTGAAGTATCAGTTTAAAACAGTATGATTTAATGTTGCATTATAGTAGTTATATCAGGTACAGAAACAAATCAGGTGAAAAAAATAATATTGAAGTTGAGTAATCAAAATTTAATCAATAATAAAATAGGATTGACTAAAACCGAATTTTGAAAGCAAAAAAAAATTTATGCAATCTTTGTTTAAATTTTTTCTATATGAAACCAATTACAGATTAATTAGATTCAATTGATTTTGTACTGACTTATTGAAATATATATATATTTTTAAATGAACGTAAATAAAACTTTTTTCGTGATCAGATTAAGTTCAGAACGAAAAAATACACAGCGCTTGTGATTTGTAACAGAAGTCCCACTGTATTGTGTAAATATATAACATTGATTCCATACGAAGTACGCAGACGCGGTTTCCGACTCAATACGCTCAAGTCTATTCAATATCTCGAAACAAAATAGTCTTCATCAGTACTGAAACATCTGTAATATATGGCATTGATTCCATACGAAGTACGTAGACGCGGTTTCCGACTCAATACGCTCAAGTCTATTCAATATCTCGAAACGAAATAGTCTTCATCAGTACTGAAACATCGGTATTTGGATGCGATTTTTTTCGCATGCGTATGGAAACCGGTTTGAAAGTGTTTCGCCAGTAAATATTTTCCACCAATCTGGTTTTCATTCGCATGCCAAAAAATCGTAGATAGTGAGATATCTTCCAGACTTTAATTCATTTATCGTTAGATTGCGAGTGTTTTTTTATATCGACGACTTAATTCAGAGGGTATCGACATTTTATCTTTAAAAAAGTATATTTATGTATAGTTATTTTTTTACCTTTTACTGCTTCTAAAATTTCTTGATTTGTTGGAGATGCTGTTTCATCCTTGCTATTTGGTTCGAATCTAGAATGTTTTTTTCTTCTTCCAATATTAGCAGCGTGGGAAGCTTCATTCCTCTCTTCCTGTTGCTTTCCAGAAAAAAAATCTCTGACATTGCTAGATGTCTACTTCCATCTTATTTCTTTTTCGAAATGCCGCCTTGAAAAATGAGTTTTTAAATTTTTTAAAATTATTGTTGCTTCACAAGAGCAACAAATAACCTTTTCGCTACACATGATTTTTTTTAAAAAAGAAAACGAAATCTTTTTACGCATGAAATTTTCCACATAAGTGCAAAAAATATAAAACGCTCTGTTCTCATAAGAAAACACTAAGCAAATTAGTGCGGCAGAAATTGGCAAATTTCCAGAAATAGCTTAGTAAAGGGGAAAAAATCGCTCCCCTTTTAATCCAGTAACTGTTTGTGTTGGAGATTAACGGAGGATCACAAACGATACGCTAGAAAAACAATTATTTAAGAACAATTCTGTAAGAAAAAAATCTGGCAGAACCATTATTGCGTATGCAGAAATTTTCGTTTTCTGTAGAAATTATTTTTTTGTAAAACAGCTTCTGTTTCTGCAGAATCTTTTTTGAGAACTTTTGTTTGTGGCAAACCAAAAATTTTTATTTCCCAAATTAAAAAAAAATCTTTCTGCAAGAACTCAGTCGCTTTTTGCGACAATGTCGCTGTGTCGCCGTGTTTCTGCCACAGGGTATATATATATATATATTGAAATGTTTTATTTCTAGTAAGAAACATCATATTATGATAAAGTGATAAAATAAACAATATATTTATTTATTTCAGGGAAGCTGTTGAGCATTTTCTATTAGCACTAAATTTGCAGAATGCTGGCAGAGGTCCCCAAGGTTTAAAATCTAAGGCCGCTATGTCCAGCAGTATTTGGTCTACCCTTCGGACTGCAATAACTCTATTAAAAAGGCCAGATTTATATCCTGCTGTTGATAGAAAAGATCTTGATTTGCTCAATAAAGAATTTGGTATGGAGGTTTAATTAAATTATATGAACTCGGCTATTTACTGTAGTTTATTCATCATATAGGCTATTCAATATTTGAATATCTTAGTATATAAAGTTATATTTACGAAACATTATTCATAACCTTATTTGTTTTACAATAAATAGCTCTCCAAAGAAACTTCATAACTAATAATGTCTTCTCTGTCTGATAATAACAGATTTTTTGTCATACTTTTGTCCTATGATATTAATATTATGAACTTCCTGTAAAATTTCTTGATTTAAGTAATAAATTTTCATTGTTTTTTTTTTAAAAAAATATTTGTGTGTTATTTGCTTTGATGTGTTTGTGTGTGAAAACTTCATATTAATATATTATTTCTCTATTTAGTATAATACTAAACCTAATTGTTTCTTGGCTTATATGTTGTAATGCATTGTTTCTAAATAAAGTTTATTAATTTGTTATACATATTTAAATTTATTTTCCTAAGAAAGTACACTTTAAATTTTTTGAATGACAGCAATAAGGCAGAGATAGTTCGAAAAATTCAAATATAGAGTCATTTTAATTCAGGATAATTTTCTTCAATTCTGTCTGGTCTTTCTTCATTCTATACTTAACAGAATTAATTCGAAATTTTATCTGGTTATATCTATGATAAAAAAATTTATTATGATTTTTAATCTATAATTAGAAGCTTAACTAGGCCACTGATTATAGTAAGTATTAATGTAATTATTTTTGCTGCACATGAGCTATAAGTATTTAATATTTTTGTTATTTAGCAGTTAAAGTTTGATTTTTAAAGGATTACATCATTATTATTAGTGGGGGAAAATGTGATGATGTACAAATTTCAATAGCTTCCATCCTGTTTATTCTGCTATATTTACTAAAGAAATTATTTAGGCTAAGGAAAATATTCTCTTACTAAGGAAAATATTAAGGTGTCACTGAAGTATACATAATTTTGATACTCATGGTGACTCTTTTCAGATGTGCCATTTGTGATTTGCTAAAATTTGTATTATATGATTAATGTTATGTACATCTTTTTATTTGCTTTTTTTCATGTAAATACTGTTTTTATAAAGAATCATCTTTTGGCTAAGATTTGTTATGATCTGCATCAGTTTTTCGAGATTTTTTTCCTCTCTCACCATTATCGGCGATAATAACTGAAAATAAGGAGTGTGGATTACACTTGTGTCTGCAGAAAATTATGATGTAATAGTCTGGAAAATGGGAGGCGCGAAAGTTTCGACTTATTTGTAATGAATTTTCATGTAAAACTTAAAGTGATGTGCTGACACAAAATCATTATATTTGCTTATTTTAAGTTAAAATTCAATGCCAGATATATATTTCCCAGGAACTGCACTATTGTTTTTCCACAACACTGATTTTTTTTTTCAGTATATCTGCATTGTCCGCATAGTTAAAGAATGTTAAAATTAATTTTGAAGTGATGCGTCCGAGTGTAAAATTAAATTTAATTAGAGCTGTGTTTTGTTTTGAATAGAATCGAGCAAGCTGAGTGGTTGTTAAGAAGTAAATTTTGTTGTATGTGAATAGATTTAGTATGACTGTAAAGTCAATTTTTTTATTGCTGTGCATTTGATAAAACTGTGATTAAAGATTTGTATAATTCAAGGTATTTTGAAAAAAAGAAATAAGATACACTTTTTATAAGTGAGTTTAGTGTTGTTAAGTAATAGTTTTGTGTTTATATATTGCAATATTTTTTTATGAAACTTGCTGAAGAAATATAACAAAACATGTTTAGTGTTATAAAATAATAGTTTGGTATTATCTCAATATGCAAAAAATTTTTTTAATAGTTGAGATTTAGTTATGCTCTTTTAGTGCCTACTCTGATATTTTTTTAAAGCTAAGTGCTATTGCCTGGCATACCCTACATTGTTTTAAGTTGATCGTAATACGAGCGAACTTTGTTTTTCATTGGGTTACAATACTTTATTCCGTTTTTGGCAACAGATGAAAGCTGTGCTAAATTGGCGAGAAAAAAAAGCTGCCAAACATCGGGTGCAGGTGCACAATAAATTTGTTCTTATTTCTTTCCTTTTTAAATTCTATGTTCGATTTAAATTTTCTAAAAGTGATAGGAAGTTGGAGTTAAAAATTAGTTCAAAAGTATGATTTCGGTCAGCCAAACTGTCTTGATGTCTGGGACATTTCTCACAATAACCCAAATGATATGGTAAACTGAGTGTTTAAAAAGTATCCAATTTTTAACATAATTAAACACATTAACATTAATTATTATTTAAAGCTATCGAAAATTTAAATGCTTTTAGTTTCCTTTAATGATAAGTTGCTGTATATCACCCTTTAAAACTTAACAGGTCCTTAGGTACCTATTTGTGTAATATTTTTTTTATACCTGGCATCATTGAGTGATAAGCCAATGCGGGTAAAGAGATAAGGCAGAAGGTATGAGGATTGAGAAAGAGAGGCCAGCTATAACTCATCATGAAGGGAAACTAAAATCAAATGAAATTAATTCTAAGCAGTGCAGTCTAGGAAATGAACCAATACATGGAAATTTAAACAAATTTCTGATAAATAGTGGTTATAGCAAAACAACACATGGTGCGTAGCGTTTTTAAAAAGTGCTTATTTTTGATTTTGGTTTTTTAAAAGCCCTTAAAGGGGGTGTTTTTAAAAAGTGCTTAATTTTCCCTTTTACGGTAATGAGATTTTTTTCTTTACCATGTCGATTTTCGCCTCGTATTATGCAAAAGCGTGCTTTTCACATTGTTTTATTCAACATTTTCACAATTCATTCAACCACCATCAATCTCGTCGTACCGTCGGTCCACAGTGTATGAAAGCGCCAATCATTTTACATGTTTGATGAAATACTTGCAAGTCCGCTTGTGCCTCTACTGAGCGACTGTTCGGTGAGATTATTGCACTCTCAATATGCAACTCTGCTGCATTTTTCAAGATATTATCAATTTCAGGCTTCATTTCCCCCTCTGATATTGAACCGAAAAATCTCATTTTATAATGGCTAATGTAATCAAGAAAAGAGATTTCAGTCAGAAACAAGTTATTTTATTATGTTCATGTAAAGTCTTAAATTAATTTACATTTTGTTAATGTATATAGTGCTTAAAAATATTTTTTTGAGTGCTTAAAAAGTACTTAAAAGGTGCTTATTTTTTTGTTGAAAGATTTGGCTTCGCATCCTGCCACATTAAACATAGTTGTGCCACTTCATGTAATAAACAAATTTTTAATTCTTCTAGTTAGAATACTATACAATCATCTATATTATATAAAACCCTAATGGGTGTGTAGTTAAAAAACCAATGAATTCTCTTTTCCATGGTTGCAACAGAAAAATGAAAAATCAAGCAAAGAAGCAGTCATAAGCAAGTTCAGATTTAAGCATAACACGTTTCTATTTCGATATTTCTTGCATGGGCTACAAAAGGCTTAAACAGGCCAAATTATAAGTTAAGGAAATCTGATTGGTCAAATGTGACTAACTCTATAAAAATCAAAGTGTTCTATAATGTATAAAATCCTAATATTTATATTGTTACAAGGCGAAATTTCTTTTCCTTGTTTGAAACACATAAATAAAACAGGGTCAGGTGGGTATAAACTCAAGCTTTTTTTAAAGAAGGCTCTAAAATCATATATTAAATTTATTTTTCCGAAAATTTTGATGCATTTCAGATACATTGGATTCATATAGATTAAATAAAGCTTAAGTTATCAATTTTGTTTGATTGTTTTCTTACTGTAATGCAAGAAAACAAACAAAATTTTGTATCTTTTTACATACAAAAGAATATGTTTTAATGTACCCACTTTTCCCCCCAAGCTCTAAAATTAGTATATATTTCATTAAAAAACGTATGTAAATATTGTCTTATAGATAAAAATGCTCTTAAATAAATGTATCTTGACAATACATGAAAGAATAAGTGCTAAAAAAAAGTTTTTTTTCCCTCATATTATTAAATTAAAGAGTTAATGTTCATGACTATCAAAGTTAGGTTTCACTTTGGACAGTATATATTTTGCTGAATTCAACACAATTTCCTCAAAATGCAATTGTTTTGGTTTATTTAGAATATATATGAGAATGTTAAAATTAATAACTATAGTAGTAATTTAAAGTGTTTTTACTATTTATAGCTAGCAGACAATTTATAAGGAATTTTGTTTTCAGTGTTAAAATTACTATGTAGGGCTATAATGAAACAAATAAATTATTTTTTTAGCTATTTTATTATACAATATTGAGCATTAGATAGATACTTACTAAAGCTAACATAGAAAATGAAAAAATACCCCTATCATACAACACTTAGCTAAGCCTAAATATATACCAACTTTACCCCTAAAAAAACAATAATAAAAAGAATGTTGAAATTAATTCTATCAATTTCTATTCCCATCTGTTCTTTAGATGCACGTTTGAACTAAAATTAATAGTTTTTGCCAGTTTTTAATAATGTTGGAAGAAAGTTGATCAGCAGCTAAAACTAGCATACTGTATAGGTTGATCATAAACAGATATTTTGCAAACATTTTAACTTTTTATCAATTTCTAAAACTGTAATAAAAATGCTTGCTGCAATCCTAGTGAATGTCTCGAAAAATATTAAATGAATTATCTTGATTTTAGAATAGAAAATAAATATTTATAGGGTCATGTAAATTTATTTTAGTGTTCCAAAATTTTTACTGTGCATTTTTGTAGAAACATAAAATTTTCTAGTTAGTTTTAAATTGTGTCTGAATACTGAAATTTAGAAATGCGTACTTAAACGTTTGCAAACTGCTTGCGATTTCAAATTAATGTTGAAATCTATGTTTAGATATTTGTATTGAAGAACCAAATATATATGTAGAATTTTGTATAGAGAAAAGGTTTATGATTCTAATCTTAAGTCTTCATAAAAGTATACGAAGCTAGACGGAAGTAATTCAACGAATGAGCAAGTAAAGCAATCAAGGGGCAGAGCCTCCTAGTGTTTAGAAATACTGATCACCTTACTTAATTATTAATCTTTTCTAGACCATTAAGGTATTAATAGAAGGCCTATCTTTATCTGCACTGAACTAACTGCTCTCTTAGTCCTTGAAATCCTTATATTGGATAAGAAATCTGGCAACGCCTTTTCTAAGCACATTGATTTGAAGGAATTTCGCATATCTCATTTTTCAGTGACATTTTGGCAATAAGAACTGATGACTTCCTGTTGAATTGCGTCACAGTGTTGCCGCTAAGGGGCGAGATAGCTGCAGAAAGGAAATGCAAGGCAAGTGAACTATCAATTGTACTGTGTTACACGTGCAGATATGGGCAAAAAACGTGACTTAATTGAGTTTGAACATTGTGTGCGCACGAGGCGTCGGAGACAGTATTAGCAAAACCTCTGCTCTCATGAGAGCTGTAGTCATTAAAGTGTACAGAGAGTG